ATGTGCGGCCCCGTGAGAGTTTGGCGAGAAAATTGCTAACTCGAGAGTCAGAAAAGTTGGGAGGCTCAGACTTTGGAGAACATTCCCCGTTCAAATAAGACTTAAATCTTCATATTCAGTCTTCATTTACGCGTGATTCTCGTGTACGGGCAATTAAATTTCTGGCGGGAAAATTACTCAAGCAGTTGGGTTACTCTCAAAAAACACCGCTACACGGGAATAGTTTATTTCTTTCTATGTAAAATTACAGTTAGGTTATTTTCAAAAAAATCGCTAAATGGAAATAGTTTGTTTCTTTTATGCAAAATTTACGATGATTTTCGGCATTAAGCACATGAGGTAGGTGTAAAGAAATAAACGTTCAAAACCCAGGCCGAAACGCACCGGCTCGCCTGGTGCGTTTCGGCCTGGGTTTTGAAAAGGCGCACAATACGCATGCCATACTGATATTAAAGCCAAAGTGCTTCGTCATAATATCCCCGGGTTTTTACGACAAACATCAATATCCCGTTCTGAGCCCGCCTCAGTCTTAGATCACATTTGTTTATTTTGTTAATCTCCAGGCCGAAAGATAAATAAAAATTTCCGATTTACGAGTTTTTTTTTTTAGTTTTCCCTTGTTATACCTAATAAACAAACACAGTTCCAGCGTGATAAACGACTTTAATGCATATATTGAAAATAGCAATCCAAACTCCCTAAACACTAATTACCTTAATTACATCCAGTATATCTCAATGTGGTTTAGTCAACAAGACTGGTTGTCACATGCTATCCCCAACCTCATTTTGTACGAATTTTCCACGAACATTTTGGCAAGAGTTCTGGCTCAAACGCACTGGCATCACTATGACTGCTGACGTCAATCCCTGGATGTCCTAAGTCTATAATTACTTTACTCCTCCGATTCATCTCTTTCGATCAGATCTTACGAGCAAGCAGATTAGATCCGAGAACGAAACAGAATCCTTTATCTCTTCGGGATTCATACATTGCTTTACTGCTACAGTATTCTGATAAGATTATTAGGAATCAAAGCAGCTAATCTCTGATTTATTAATTGTTTTCACTGCGTGGCAAAATAGCGCTTTGCTGAGCCAATCGGTATTTTTCACAACTGCTAATTTTTTAGTGCTTTTCTCCCGTGACAGTGGTAAGTATCTACAGCGGTATTTACAAGTGAATTGTATTTCAGCGAACAATACACTTCAAAATGAGAACTCGAGACGCACTGAACTACAAAGAGAAGCTCCATGTATACAAAGAAGATATCCAAATATTTTTCTTTTGTTTGCTGGTTGGAAATGTGAAATAATATATGTCTGTGTGGGTGTGTTTGTTTATGCGTTTTTGTGCGTGGGTGTGCATATGTTTGCCCAATAGGCTGCTTTCACAAGCAGTGCTGTGAAGTTCGCGCATGCATTGTCGGTGGCGCAATGACTAGCTCAACATGTTGAAGGATTCTTGATTTCTACTTACGGCAGAGTTTGGTTCTTCTTATAAGTATGTGTCGTAGTTGACGCCCGTACCGGAAAACTTACTGTGCTTCGAGCTCAAACTTCGCCAGTAAGCAGATTTGTTCTGGCAGCAATAAGTGCATCTTCAGATGATATTCTTTACGGCAGGAGTGAACAAAATATCATTTCAGAGATGAATATTATCAGATCAAACGAGACATTCTACACGATAAATCTCATATTCTTCTACGTCGTTGGTCCCTTATCTCTAACGTTTAATGCTTTGCTGCTTTATATGATTTTCACAAGAACACCAGTGAAGTTTAATGAGTTGTCGCTTCTGCAGGCCAATATTGCCATTATGGCTATCATTGGTGCAATTTCGATGATGCTGTCACAGCATAGGTCAAGCCAAAACACCTTTCGCATTTATTTTGGCTCTTTTTTTTTCAAGCTTTGCTAAGAAACAACCAGCGGTCTGTTTCGTTTGCTCAACGTGGGATAGGCATCATTTTACAATCGAAAGGAATGAATGGATCATAGAGGGTCTGGCTGCCTTATTGACGAAAAAAGGGAAAGAGAAGATTTGCAGAAACTTTTGGAGTGAAATTCGGATTCTTGGCCAAGGTCTATAAACTGTTAAAAATCATATATCCGCCAAGAACATACTGTCCTATCGTCAAGGTGTTACTGTATTTGTTGCAGGTCTTTATCAGTGTCGGATTTCATTGCAGAAGCACTTGGTCCAGTGAAATATATTGGTACTCCATCGATAAGCAGCCACATCGCTTATTTCCTGTTTTGGCTAAATATGTGCCTACCGTCTCTAACGTTAATTAATATAGCTGTTATACTCGGTATCCAGCATCGAGCGCTTACCAGCACCTCTCCCACAAAAAGCTTCAAGTGGATTCGAATTTTCTTCATCGCCACGTACATCTTTGCTATTTCACAAGCGGTATCTTTATTTGTTTTGCTAATACATTTTTCATCGGCCTTGACTTAATAGCTAAAAAAGTTGGAAGCTGAAATTTTATGAGCATGTTTGCGAACCATATGCGACCCCGTTAGCGTTTATTTTGCGTACGCCTAAATGAACAACTGAAGTAATTTAGGCAGGATAACGACTTCGAGAACCCGATGAGCTAAAAGGCTCAAATTTCGCGAAGATGTTACTTACTCATGTGCTGTCTTTGGTATTCAGTCTCAGTTTTTTGATACATGCGT